AGATTTACACATGTACATTTATCCGACGTTCTTACGGTGAAGGAAAACATCGTGATGCAACCTGCACATATCTGAGAATAAATTCAAAGGTATGTGTGAAGTCAACCAACCCGCACTTTGCCAGCGTGGTTGACTATGGCCTAATCACCCTTAACTTAGGATTGGTTCTGAGCCCCTCGGTGGGGACGTATAGTGAGCTGATGATGTTGATATGTATACTTGTCGCCCTTGATGTTTAGGGCGACGAAAAAAAACAATGTAGGTGAAATTCTTAAACGCATAGCGACCTAGAGCTTGAATACTGGGTTAAGGCAGTCATCACTTATTTTTTTTATTTTATACTTCAACAACTAGATAAAATACGTTCAGCTATTTACTTACTGTATATCGTCAATCTTGCAGTTTTTAGCGCCAACTAACTTCATGGTCGGGAAGACCAATTTGAAATGTCCTTGATCCATGGTGATATTCCTCAAATACATTGGTTCTAAGGAATCGACGCCGAGCTCCGGGATGCCATCGCCCAAATAGGAAAGCGCAACACGCGTGTTCGCTTTGATGAAACACGCAGAATCACCAGGAACACATGCGAATGGCGCTAAAATAAAAATTTACGATGGATTTTAATATATTATAATATAAATTAATATGAACAAACTCCTTAAAAAACAAACGAATGATGACCCCCGAGAAGAAGATGAGTCGAGTGTTCGAATTCTTTAAAAACGGCCAAGAGTTTGGGCCTAAAGATTGTGATACCTAATTGAACACTTTATACCGGTGCGAACATTACTTTCGGAAAATCAATTTCTGATCATTAAAGCACAGTTTACTGATTTCTTTGTAACTTTAGAGTAATGTCATATGTTATTTGCGGCTGTGGTGCAATTGCTTATGACTTACATGCCACACGATACGATCAAATGCAAACAACGCATACGTCACATTTGAATAATAATATTGAAGTTAATTCTTTAAGTTAGTAGTAACTTAGTAAGTTATTGAGTTGCGCTTTAACTATGAAGCACGGTGTTGATGGGTTTTCAATAAATAATTTTTCAAGTCAAAACTACGAAGTTGAGTACGCATTGCAAAATAACGTCATGGATTTGTTAAAAATAAATCGAAAATCCTTGCGTAGTTATATGCTGATATTTAGATATACATTTAATATGTATGTATTATATATGTATTTGAATCTAGATTTAATTAATTTAACATATAATAAACACTGAAAATTTCAAGAATTCTATGTCGACTACATTTTTAGTTATAATTAAATTTTTTCCGGTCGAAATAACTTGAGAAAAAATAAAACAGAGTTCTGATTAGACGGAAGTATAGTTATGAATAGTTTATAGATAGCAATGTGTACATTACCTATAGATGCATATCCTTCAGGCACGAAACAACCGGCCACCAATAGTAAGGTGATCCTGATCATTGTAATTTATTAAACTTTCCAAATTGCACACTGAAAAAATCTTTTACTCTGGTTGTTATGCGACTGATGGACAATGTACGAAGTTTTACAATATATAGTCGACGATTTGTTTTTTACATTGTCACAGCATATAATACAAAACCAGATTTAAAAATAAAACTCAAGAAAAAAAAATCCGAACGGCAATGACTAAAATAACTAGAACTCAAAAGGTCTCTCTCTCATTGCTATGACGTCATGTCATATACCAAGTTGTCTACATTCCTCCAACGTTTGTGGGATGAAAAATCAAAAAGGTAACTCAAATGACGATCGCCCGTACGATCGAATAGACTCAACATTGTTCTAAAACTTTAAACTTTCGTAGTTTTTACTATAATAACATTCTTAAGAACCGTCAACCCGTGATCATGGCGTATGCAAGTGTCCCAAAATATCGGGAGCTCAAACAACTTAATTATGGTAAGAACCCCGTTTCTTACGAGTACCATTGTTTTCTTATGATCTTTAAAAAGCAAACACAGTTAAGTACTTATATTTACTATATATAATAAAGCTTCTATGGGTGTGATGTTTTGGTCTATTTATCTATCTATCTATATCCTTCCATTCACTTACAATGTAGGTTGTCAACAATACCTAATCAGATAGTTCTAAATATTGCATACCGTTCACCCAAAAAACTAAAACCGTATTCTGGTTTTATCATTCAAAAAGTCGATGTTGGATTCAAAGTCCAAAATACATGTTTTATTGCGGCAGTTTATTCAAAACGATGGCCTTCTTTGTTATTAATAAAGTTGCATTATTTGTATGATTTGAGCCGTTATTTTACAAAATAATAAATTACACAGCTGTTAAATTTAACCAGGAGTAAGACCTAGACCCGTAAATAATGTGGTCTGTACGTGGGTTTGTTAAAATAAGAGTTTTGGTGTATAGAATGTATAGTGAAAATGCCATTGGCGTTGATTTTAATTTTACGAGTCATGTACATATATTATGCTTGTATAACCGGCCCATTCATGCAATGGCGAGTGTCGCCTTGTCAGTTTTGAATAATATGTCGTAATAAACATGTACGAATTTTAGAATGAAAATCCAATAGCTGTTGTAGACACCTAGATATTGTTCTAATCGAAGTAGACATCCATAATGTTACAGTGGGTTTTTGACATCAAAAATCTCTCAAAAAATGTATCGTTATCCATTTCATCTTTGACAAAACAGAGATAAAGTTTTAAACAGGTATTTTGGTTTCAGAAACCCACGGTAAATAATTTGCAGTAAGGTGTTGCAAGTTGTTATAATTTATTCTTAATTTAATTTAAATATTTATAGTCTTTCAATATTCTTATCCTTACGTTTGTCTCGAAAATTTAGGTTTTATTTGTGACAGAATACATTTAAACATCAGTACCTGGATGACAGAGCTTTGCTCGGTATCTTTTTTTTAAATTGTGTTTTTTGGAAATTATATTTAAGTACGAATTACTAATAAAATGATGAAATATGAATAATATTTTTCGATCTTACCGATAGAAAAAGTTAAGTTTATATTTAAGTTGATTATCGATAAAACACGAATAAAATGACATTTTCTAAAAATGATTCCTAGCTAGATCGATTTATCGCCCCCGAAACCCTCTATATATAATACTAAATTTTATGAAAATCGTTGGAGCCGATTCCGAGATTCCAATTATATATATATATACAAGAATTGCTCATTTAAAGATATAAGATTATCTTTAAAATATTTAAAAAATTGTTACTTTTACGCATGCTTTCTGCATTGAAATTTATGACTTTTTATGGACGAAAAAAAAAATAAGCGGTTCAAGGGCGGCGATGTTTACACATTTCTTCATTTTTGTAGGTTTCTTTTTCTTCTAATTTACGCTCGAACCATCGTTTGAGAATATATGTTCATCAGCTCGTGGTATTTTCGTCAACTTCACATCAGTATTTAGAGAAGTTTGATAGTATGAAACCTTTTTGGTAACCAGGGAGTTCGATACTACCAAATAGGATATACTGGCCACTAAGAATGTTGCGCAATTAAAGTGGTATAAAAAAGTTTTTTAAAATGTAAAAATAAATGTAAATTTATTCTATTTCCAGCGCTATTTTCTCGTTATGTAATGATAGATTTTTAATAATTGTATAACATATATACAATTATGAAAGATTACTTTCTTCTTCACTAACATTGTAAGTCTCTGTAGCTTGTAGTACTTGTGTCGTAGCGTGTTTTTCGTAGCATAATTCTATTTGTTATTTTAGTATATTATAACAAATCCTAATGTCATTCAAATGCTAAACATAAATTAAAATATTATAAATGAATATTTCAGATCAAATTAATAAATGCTAATGTTATAAATTCAAATAAAATAAATACCGTTTTCAAATGTTAATTTGAATATCGATTAATTTAAAACAATATGACTGTTTGAAGTAAATCGCGGTTGTGAAAAATACATCTTATTTATCTTACTGGTCTTGCTAATAATATAAATGCGAAAATTTAGATGTATGGATGGATGGATGTTTATTAAAAAGTATCTCCAGTACGGCTCTATGGATCTCTATAACATTAGCGTGGGTGTAGATCATCGTCTGGAAGAACACATAGACAACTAATTAAGTTTGTTTTTAATTCCGCGTGAACGGAACCGCGAGCGGCTGCTAGTATCATATATATGAAAGAATTGAAGGGTTTGATTTATTGGTTGGCTGACTGATATATAAACGCACAGCCGAAACTATTGGGTCTTGAAATTTTGCGCATAGATTTCTATTACTATGTACTGAGAAAGGAATTCACGAAATTCATCCACTAAAGGGTTCAAATTTTGTATGGAGCAACGTTATTACTTTAACATAATTACTTGTTACAAATAATTATTGGTGAAAATCTACATCTTATCCAAAATAAAAATTTAATACTTTTAAAACGGGGTTAAATTTTGTTTGAAATATTTTTCACATCGTAGATACAAAACCTAGAGACTTGATATTTTGATTTCTATATCTGCTTAGGTAAGTCATATAAAATGATATTATGAAATTCTTCTCCTTAAGGCCTAAAGTGAAGGGTGAAAGTTTGTATGGAGATATTTTATTTCTCCACTAGGATTTCAATAATCCCAATAAATAACCCTTCCAATCCGCAATTTCTGTAATCCATATCAAAATAAATGTTTTCTATGTCCGGAGATTTTCTTTTTCTTCTTCTTGAGGCGCCTCTCCGATCAACGAAGGTTGGCGTGGCGATCTGTTCTCCATATTTTCTTTTGTCTCTTTTGTCTCCGGAGAATTTAATGTAGATTAAAAGTGTCTTTTTATTTATTTATTAATTAGACTAGACAGATAAATGTTCTCATTTGATTTGGTAAGTATTAGATATGTGAATTTTAATAGGTCACATTTTTGTATAAAGATAACGAACATTTGTTTAAAATGTCTGCTCAAACTGTGGTTGCTGGTAGCATTCAAAGATAATGTTCTATCCAGTAAAACGCTGGGCTCTTCAAATCAATAAAAACACATGTCCATTAATAACTACCTTTATTATAAAAGGGTATAAAATCGAATACAGTAAAGTTAATTATTGTCTTGGTAATTACAGCAAATCAGACACTGAACTAAAACTAAAGCATTCTAAGTCGGCAATTGACTGCGCCCGTATCTCGTAGATCGGTCTTGGCAATATCTGTGTGGAGAGCTGTTCAAGTGGTACGTGCTGGAAGAATGCCTCCAGGTAGCCGTGAAGACCACCCACAGCTGCACTTACTATTGGTTCCGCGGTCTTCGCAACTGTAGGCCACCAATCGCCGGTTGCCGGACTGAAGAATGGTGATTCTGGAAGTAATTAATACATAGAGGTCAGTTATTTAATAAAGTCAGTAATTATATACCATCTCCGTAATTTAAGCTTAGTTCGTTGATGCATAAGGTTGGATAGAGATAAAACAATAACCCTGGTTTCATAATAGTAAAAAAAATCACATCAAAAGTGCAAGCAAGAAAATTTATTAAATACGAATGTTTAGCCATTTTGGAGTTACCTGCTAACAAACATCCATCCATCCAACTAAAATATAGAGAAATATAATTAGTACGATAGTATTTACCTTTGGATACTTCGCCTGTGAAGAGGTTATCAAGTTGTATGCGAAGAGTTTCTTGTGGCTCGTACACGTATTCCAAGACATTCAGTTTCCAGTAACGGTTGCCATCGGCGCCACGAACCGTTTCGATTTGGAAAGTTATGGTTGTTCTTATGTTGTCTATGTAAGAAAAATGTCATGTTAAGGACACATGAAAATAAAATAAATTGTTTTTTACAAATAAGTTTTTTTTGTTAGATAAAAAACCGTGGCTTAGTTGTCATCGTAAGCTCATATATCCCCACAGGCTTGGGGGCTACCCTAGTTAGGGGCGACTAGATCATAGTCAGCCACTCTGGACCAGTGTGTTTCACTAATTATGCCTTTAACAACTATTTCGGAGCATCCATTAAAAAGAGAAGGAATTCAAGCAATCAGCAAGAAACGCAAATTACAATAATAATCACGAGGAAATATCTTAGTCTTTGAATTATTTAGAACAAATATTATAATATCATCAATTATTAAAGTTAAAGATTGAATATGATGACACTCGGACATAAGAAATACAAATAAGATTACAATACAAAGAGATAATTTAGCAATCAGAATGAATAACATAAGATTTATTTGAAATAAAACAGAGTTATTTACGAAAAAGGATAAATATCTTCAAGAAATGTTGTATTAATTGATAAATATTAATTCGTAAATAGATGAATTTAATTTGTTTAATTGTAGTTCCTTATTATTGTTGTTACCAAATTACCTGATTTAATAACATAATTTCCTTCGTGACTGGTTTCGTAGAAGTATACATTTCCATTGAACTTGTATTTTCCTGTTATTTTCAATGGACACTCTAAAGTTAGTGTCATTGTTGATTGTGCAAAATTCAATCTGTAAACAAATAATTCAGATATTTTTGTTAAGTAAACGTAATTAATGTAACTGATTTATTGTCTGGACCAATTTGCAGAAATTCGTCAACGATTAAATTAAATGAATTTAAACATTGAAAATAATTTGTAAAAGGTTTAGCATTTTCAAGTTAAGTAATTAAATAGTCGATAATTCATTAATTAAAACGATAGTGCTAATAATAATACATTTTTTATCTTTTCCAGAATTTAATTTATAATATTATATAGGATTTCGTGTCTGTAATTTTTGAAAAATAGAGTTTAAATTACTTACTTCATGTCTGCAACTTTACAGCCTCTGGCGCCGACCATTTTCATATGTGGTAATACCAAATTGAAGACCCCTTGACTTATTGTTAGGTTCTTAAATAACATGGGTTCCAAAGAATTGATTCCATACTCGCGTAGTCCATAGCCTATTTGTGAGAGAGCTTGCAGAGTGTTTGTTGTGATGTAGCATTCAGAGTCGCCGGGTGCGCAACGCTGAGGGTATGTTGCTGAAATGTTAATGTTTAGTTATGTTACTTAAGTCACGCATATACCTTTTCTTTAATTTGTTTAAACTTTTGTGAGACATTATAAAAAATTTTAATTTTTTTTATTATTATTTATTTATTAGATGTCGCCCGAGACTCCGCTCGTTTGGAATGAAAAAAAAATTAGTTCCCGGGAATTATTCGACTTTGTTAACCTTTTAAACCTTTCCTAGACTTATACCAACATTTCAAGGCTAAGATAAGATAAATCCGTTCAGCCGTTCTCGAATCATAGCGAGACTAACGAACAGCAACTGTTTTTATACATATAGATAGAAAATAAATGTATACAGGGTACAGTATTCAAAATTACAATAAAATGTTTATAAACCCATTGCGGATTTATCCAGACACTCTGGTACTACGCGATGAAATTAAACAGTAGGTCAATTTAATGGTTTCAGGAATTTGAAATTAGAACGACGTTGCTATCACCGGACTATCTATCATACGTGAGTTATGTTCCTAATTTATTTAATTTACTTATGTTTTTAAAGTACAATGTGGAAAATATGTGATTGCCATATTCCGCAAGAAGAGGAAAGTGGCAGCTGACATCTCAAACAAGTAAAAATATTACTGGCTGCCTATAATCAACAAAAAAAGTATTATACACAAAGATTATGTTTCTCCCTCCCTATAGGAAATTCCCTGGCAAATCCAACCATTACTGTTATAAGAAAAGAGGCTAGAAATTCGCCGACAAGTGTGTACAAATGTGAAGTGAGTTGTACAAAATATTGAACAATCAGCAATGCATTTCTGCAAGCCATCTTTTTCAATCGATATCCTTCATACATTATTCGTTCAATTAAATATTTAATATAGAACAACATAAATATGTTGTTAGTTAATGAATTGTAACAGAATAATCAATGATAAAAACTTTAATTTTAATAACCCCAAAAAAAGAACATTGTTATTTGTATATTTAAATTAGATCTGTTTATTTTAATTGCTTTTAATCTCAAAAATTTAAATTTCTAATTATAAATCTGCCGAAATAGATGTAATAATACAAAAACTTGTTGTCGTCCTTGCTCTTTGATAAACCATAAACTAAAATATGTTTTTGCAGATTTTTGGCAATGGAAACGCGCGGTAATAGTCAAAATGCACCGCTCACGGTCACCGGTGACAGTTATTAATGCAATCACTTTAAATAAATTTTCATTATATTTAAATTAAGATGTTACGATATAAGTATCTTAAAATAGCTATTTAATATTTAAGTTGTATTTAAAAGATCGTTGGTGGCTCAGGGGTTAAGCGCTTGACTTGTAATCTGCAGGTCCTGGGTTCGAATCCTGCCATGTACCAATGTGTTTTTCGATTTTTTATGAATATTTGTTCATTTATCCCACATTCTTACGAGGAAGAAAAACTGGTGCCACCGGCACATATCTGCGAAGAAATTCAATGTGTGGGGAAGCCAACCAACCCGAACTTGGCCACCGTTGGTTGACTATGGCCTAGTCACCTCTAACTTAGCATAGGCTCCGAGCTCCTCGGTGTTTCGATTATAAATTTTACGTTTAACTTTCTAGTAAAAAATAAATCTTTTTAGTCTTTACGTTCAGAAAAAGTCGTCTTGAGGAGTAGTCAGGAGTTGATGCCAATCTATGCCTAGTTTTATTTAAATATTTTAATGCAACAAGCTCGGTTTAAAAAAAATACTGCGAAGAATTTGTGAAAATAGCCACGTAAAAATATGACAGGACAATTCCCTTTATGTATTTTTAAACTCATTTAATTTATTGATGAAAAAATAGTTTAAATTTGACATTTTATATTACCGCGAAGTGTTCGTCGAATTTCGAATTTAAAGATTCAATCATTTCCACGTAGAATGAACGTGAAGCTTTTATCGCGCCAACGCAAAACCAATCTTCGTACCATGTTGTGGTCGTTTCATTAGAACTTTATTAAAGCTATAATTACTAATGTTTTTCGTAAGGTATTGATAGATTGATTAACACTTCATTGCTTCCGTTACAAGAAACAGTTAACTAAAACTAAAATATTATATAGAAATGAACAACCCAGTGGGAAAAGAGAGGTGCATTAAAATCAATAACAGAGTATTAAGAAAAGTCAAAAATTATTATTTATATTTGACTTTTCTTAATTAATTTAATTATTTAATCTTACTTATGTGAGAGCAAGAAATACATATGAAAAAGTAATAATTAAACTTACAATACATGCATCACTAATTGTCACCCGAGACTCCGTCCGTGCGGAATTTAAAGAACAAAACTTAATTAATTGCCTAATGTGTTCTTCTAGACGATGTTCTACATTCATGCCAAATTTTGCTGCCGTTCTAGAGATATCTTCAAACAAACATCCATGCATTCGTCCTAATATACGCATTTTTAATAGTAGTCAAGTTAAGTAAATATTAGCATCTAATTATACATAAACATTTTATGTAATGTTACAATTTCCTGTTAAATTTCATGAAATCTAACATTCTCTTCAATCTTCGGTAAAAATAACTAAAAATTATATCTACCTAATTTCAAAACAGTGTACAATTAGTATAGGTTTCCCTTAGGCTATTCAATAATAGTAAAATATCGTACCCAAACCAGCGCTTCCTTCCTTCACCAAAATTCCAACTAATAACAATGAAAAAAATCTAAACATTTTAAAATACAAAATGTTATCACGGAGAATAGTTACGTGATGTACGATCTTTGTTCGACTGACAAACGCTGTATAAAGATTCCTATTATATAGTCTGTAATTTTCATTATTACAGCGATTGATTAGACAAAACCAGATTTGATTATAAGTCATTCTAATTGATAAAACCAGTATTTTACCGTGAGATCTAGAAAATATCGATAAGCTTTAAAGTCCTCGTATGAGGCCAGTACATTCACAAGAATTTACTTCCTTGTCGGAAGTAGGATTTACAACGACACTTGTAAAATAAATATGGAATTAGAAATGCCCTATTTTCATTTTAAACATGGATAAAATCAACAAACAAATCTGTACTTTATTAAATAATTAAAAACATATTAAACCAATGAAATAAAAATGAAAAAGTAATTAAAACAAAAGCTGTTTTTTGAACTGATTTATTTAAAACCTAAAAATATAACAAAACCAAAACGTCTATTTATTGACAAGGAAATCAACATTTTTAAAGTAAAACTTTTATTGTGGATTGAGAAAAACATAACATAAATGTTATTATACATAAACAAACATGTAAATAAATACTCTCCGATTTATCAATATAATGTAATATTTATAAAACTTTGCTAATATAATTGACAAAATATTAATTATAAAGCTTAAAGAGGAAAATACTTAAATTAGTTTTTAAAACAGGTCTTCAGGTTGTCCAACAACAATTATAACTTTCTCTCTGAATATCAAAAGGGTCATGTTATGTTCTAGAATTTATTTTATAATAACAGTAGTACACGCCGGCAACAACTACTGCGACCCCAATTGGGCGGCTCGCCCAATGTTATACCACAACCGCACAGAAGACAGGTGTAAGTAGAAGCAATTCCGCATTTCATCCGATGAGTGAGCGTGCCGGGGGCCTAATTCAGCCATTGCACTGTATTCTCATAAGGATGAGATAGGAATAGGATGTGGATTGGGTAAAGGAGGGAACGCATAGGGTAGGCAGCGCATCGTTTTGTAAAGGAAGATGTCTATGGACAACGCCACTTTACTATTTTAGCGAATTCAAATGGTAGCTTGTTCGTTTGCTACCTCTGGCTATAAAATTAAACATCACTTACCCTTTTTTGCCTTTAACCATTTCTATGGGGGACATCTTTCCTAATCTTTAGCTAATTAAAAGAATCAGTGTTAGCAATCGTTTTACTGCCGGTGGTCACCATGGTAGAGCTCAATAATTGATCCTTGAGATCGATCTAAAGATTATTTTAATTACTTTCTAAGTGAAGAAATACAAAAATTAATCAAACTCTCTCTCAATGATTGATATTGTATTATAGACGTTTTTTCGATTTTTGCTTACATACTTCGCCGTCTTAGCGACCCAATGTGGATCTTCGCTCCGACGCAAGATTGTGATTTTTAGATAGGTTAATTTTAAAACAAAAAGATGAACATAATGTTTGAAACAAATAGTTTGAACAATTAATTATTACCAATAATTGGCATCAGCTTTGAAACAGTAACCTTTAGTGCTGACTGGGGCTCAGGATGCCACTGATGACATGATGCATGATGAGAATTTTTACGAGCGGTTCCGACAAATGAGACCTCTATAGGAATACAGGACTCTTCGAAATTCAAAATTATTTATTCTTACTAAAATATTTAAATTTGTTTATAGGATTTGCTATCCCGACTTACCTCTACCCAAAGTTGCACAATTTATGTGCTAGATGTCTCTTAACTAAATAAAATAAACTTACCTATAATAAAATTAAATTAATGAAATAATTTTATAGTACTATTTCTTGCTTGTATTTACTAGTCTCTTTCACGTATAAACCATGTTCACGTTAAGCGTTATTTGTAAAATAAATCAATATTTCCGTGTTATTTTTAAATTACAAAAAAAAAAATTTAAAAAAACAACAACATTTTATTGAAACAATAACAAATATTAAAGTTGGAATCACTGCCCTTTGATTTAGTTTTGTCAATATAGTTTAAAGGCCAGTTTTTTCGCCTTCCCAAAAAACGATAAAAATAAAATTACGATTAATATTTTTCGTTTAATTTAACGAATAAATGTTTCACGAGACATTTAATATGTCGTGAAGCAATAAAAAATATATAGAGTTAGTTAATTCAAAATAAATATTGCTTTTTTTTCATGTCTGCTTTATAGCCTCGTGACTATATACGCCCAAGACAAAATTGTTTCCGTACACCTCAGGTAGAATTAAATATAGCTTAACAGTACTAGTTCAGACGTGCGATTTCAAAGCAAATACGAGCCAATAAGTATCATTACGATCATCGTTGAAATTCTTCTAGAAGTATTGAACTATGTGCAGGACTAAGTAAGATAAAAAGCTTAAGCTTCTAATAACATAGAAAAGGTGTTTGGAAGAAGAAGGGAAATAGAAATAGGCCTCCTACTTATCTGTTTTCAGACGATGAACAGACCTTGAGTGCTTTAAGCATGTCTTCTGTGAGGTCTTCGTGTTTCGCCAGGCCATTTTAAAAATACAGATTGGCTTGCTAAATTCGGTTTAGTCGGTTGGGTTGAGTTGGAACTGGATGAGCGAGAAACCCCTATAAGCGAGAGTTATTGTTCGGTCCAGACGGATAACCTACATGAGCAAGAAAGTCGGGTTAGACAGAAACCACTACAGGCGAGAAAATGTATGTCCTCTTGGATCCTATTTTCATGACCGATTTTTTACAAAGAAAGTGTACATGCGCCAAATTTGCTGTGCATCTTATGATGTATAAATTAGTCATGTGATTCATCGCACCTGTAGACTATTTTAAAATGTATTAATATTCATCACTACCAAGAAAACATAGTAGAAATGTTGCTTATAATGACTGCATTTTTGCATGTGTTAAGAGTGAATCTTTTGTTTTTTCGTTTATTGTCTCTTGGTTAATATGTGAGAGGTTTTTGATTTTTATTTTTCCATGAGATCTTTGCCCCTAGATATTGTTTTGTAAATTATTCATTAATCCTTCGAGGAAAATCCGTAATTTTTTAGACTCAAAAAAGCTGTCCTGGCTACAGATGTTCTTATATGTTATTTAGGTTGAATATTATTGTATTCTTAATGATATGAATAAAAACAATATAAATTATTGTACGTGGGCTAAGGCTATAAGTTTATTAATTAAAAAGCAAGAAAGTTCACAACAAGACATCTGAAATTACTAATTTCAATCATATTTGATACAACTGGGACAGCTTGTCGTAGATGAAATAAACACGTTGATTAACTTAACAATATTTTTTGTGTGTTGCCATAATTCAAATAACATTTATTCAATTCATTAGTTTTAATTTTATTTTAGTATTTATTAATTAATTGAGGAAGAAAATCTTGGTAGGTATTCGAGAACTAGTAGACATAAAAATCTTAGTTGGTAATTAACTATTTGGCCAGTTGTTCGAGAGGTACGCGGAGAAAGAAGGTTTTGAGGACGTCGTGGAAACGGTTGACAGCGGTGCTGACTGCCGGCTCGGCGACCTGTGATACCAGCGGCCACCAGTTGTTGCTTACCACTTTGTATAGAGGTGAGGCTGAAACAATTCATGATAATGTGGATGATATGTCACTTTATCAAATATTAACTTTTATTGTAATAATACAGAATAAAAATCGATGAATTCGGAATATATGGTTTAAGAAAGGAGTGATATAAAAGTTGTAGAAGAAGGAAACATGTTGTGTCAACCTTATAAACACGGTTCAGCTAGAATGTAATCATAAATATCTTAATCATCTTATTATATAATACATGTTGCAAAAGTCTCGGAGATTTGTAGTGAACATAATATTCGTACATGGTAAAGAAATGCGTAGATGAATGTTTGTTGGGTGGCTAAAGGGGTTTAACTGGTTCATGCTAAATAGAAATACAAATCTGCCTACCCCTCTAGAATACCAGATTGAATGTACATGATACTGATGTAATTATATCCATTAGATATATACGTAAGACTACGCAATTTCGCAGACCTGATTATTGTTTTAAAAAAGTTATCAAGGCAAACAGAAAAGGTCATTAGCCTTTTCGTTCGGAAGAAAAATTTAATTGGAGCTTCCTACGTTATCATGTTTTGGGTATAACAACATCTTGATATATTTTTTAAAGTAATAACCACTATTACTAGTCGTGCTATAAATAACAAAAATATTATAATACATTTACCTCTAGTCACTTCTCCTACAAACAGCCTTCCCAGACCAATGTGAAGGTTTTCAAGAGGCTCGTACGAATAACCCAAAAGAGTCAATTTCCAATATCTGTGGCCATCAGCGCCATAAACAGTATCCACCCTCGAATTAACTGTAGTTCTGATAGAATCTAAAAATATGTGAAAAATGAAATAAATTAAGGTCAATTTATATTTATTTTTAGTCTCGCTAAATTTGATTTTAACAATATGGCAAAGAAATAATTAAAGATGTGTTTTAGTACCTGTTTTAACAATGTAATTTCCCTCGTGGTTGACGTCAAAGAAACAAATATTTCCAGACATTTTGAAGGACCCTGTAGCTTCCAGTGGGCATTCTAAAGTTACTCCCATAGTAGATTGTACGAAATTTAAGCTGTATAAAGGAAAATGGTTGTAAATACAAATAATATAACCCTACTTAGTACCTATAGATAAAAAATGTCATGAGACATTTTAGAAAAACAGAAATCAAGCTATGGAACCCCGAATGGGTACTCCTGTGTTTTTAAAACACTACAACTGAAAATATTTTGCGGCCGAAGAGTTTTTTGTGTAAGTGTTTTTGACTAATAAGTCATGCTGCCTCAATTAGTGTTTGCGGTTTTGGTTACACGCATGTATCAAATTTAATAAGAATGCCATCCATCATTATCGAATATTAAATACTGACTGTCGCCCGCGACTCCGTCTTCGTGGAATTAAAAAAAAAAAACTTAATAAGTAGCCTATGTGTTCTTCTAGACTACGTCATACATTTTTGCCAAATTTCATCATAATCTGTTGAGCCGTTCCGGAGATACCTTCAAACAAGCACCCATCCAACTAAACTTTTGAATTTATAATATTAGTATTATAAGGTTATCACTTCTTATTATGGCGAGGCCAGTACTTACTTTATGTCTTCGATGTTACACTTCGAAGCACCAGCTACGTTCATTTCTCGAAAAACTAATGAAAAACCGTATGCTCCCATCGTTATGTTTCTTAATCTCATTGGTTCTAAAGATTCAATTCCGAACTCTGGTAATCCATAGCCGATTCTGGAGAGGGCGATTCGAGTGTTTGCCTTGATGAGGCATTCCGAATCTCCCAACAGGCATGGCTGAACCAATGGTGCTAGAAGAAAAATAAGGTTTGATTTCATTATTAATTCAATGACCAGGAAATAGTTATCGGCAATTTTTTATTCTTTTCTTATTTTTTTTAACCAAAATTAAAATATTTTTTTCGAATGTATTTTATTACGTCACTTTTTTAAAATCTTTCACTATTCTTGTAAATATCAAGGTTTGTAAATCTCAATTAAAAAGCAGACCAGAGATAGCTATTCGTATGCATAATAATTATATGTCTGATAGTATAACATAGATTGTCAATCAAAAATTACTATACGATTGTTGTACTAAAATTAAGAATAAAATTCCATGGAAACAAACGACGAACAAATCACAGTAAAGAAAACTAGAAACTAGCTGTCACCCACGACTTTGTCCGGAATAAAAAAATATCACAATAAGTAGCCTATGTGTTCTCGTAGACTGTTCCACATCTGTGCCAAATTTCAACAAGATCCGTCGAGCCGTTCCGGAGATACCTCGTAACAAACATCCATCCATCTAAATATTCGCAAACATGATGATTTATATATATATTTTTCTATAATAGATGGGGGCAAACGAGCAGCGGGAACACCGAGGTGTTCAACGACGCCCATGGACATCAGCAATACCAGAGGAACCGCAGATGCGATGCCAGCCTTTGAGATAGATAATCATGATGATATAATGAAAATCAAAATGTTAATATTGAACTTTTTACATTAGGACCGTAAACTTTTATTAAATAAAATCTTAGATTATTTCCATTATTGTACCGACCACAAGTGGACAAAGAAATTGTGATAAAAATGACCTATTTTCATTGTTTACATTATTATTTTTGACTTACGAATTGATTGTAAATTCTACAATATAATAGAATTTTGTAATTTAATATTATTTTATGGTATTTTAATAAATTCATCACTAGAGTGATAGCATACCATTAGATGCATATCCTTCAAACACTGCACATAACACAACTAATATTAGAAGATACATATTAGAAACACTTTTACGATACTTTTTATTTCCGGTAAAAAATGTTAACTGAGTTGTTATTTTGGTGAGACTGATAACTGCTTTGTAAAGTTTCACATTATATAGACGACATTTTTAGTCCTTGTTTCAGTTCACTAAAACCAGATTTGTTTAATTTCAAGGAAATAAAAGGACTTATTGATCGCTATAGCGCGAAATAAGTCGAAGGTCTCACGGATTGCAGTTTGGCTATGTTACCTTAATTATAATAGAAAAGTTAATTGTGTTCTTCGAATTAGACATGACGGTATTATTAAAAGTGATGAGCATTAAGAGGCTATTTTGTTCAATTGCTGTAAATTAAAAAAGTGTAATAACGTAAAAATTAACTATCGAAATTAAAACAATGTTTTAAGATAAAAAAAATTATTAACATAAGAGAATTAAATTACAAAAAATGTGAAAGTTAGTTACAAAGACGGCAAATGACGTCTGAAGCCTATACATATAATTCGATCAGATTTCTTATTCACTTAATAATTTGTTTTTAATTACAATTTATTCTAACTTATATCTGACTGACGTATAAATGACGACTACGTGAACGAAGACGTGTTGGTCAGTGTATGGTGTGAAATCAACTTCTGTTGTCTGTTTCTACATCTTTGTAATACCAGGGTTACCTATGACGCAGATAAGATTAAATGCGTCACTCAGATGAGTTGTTACTATTTTTATATTAACAAGTCTGACTGCTTGTGATCATTAAATAGCGACACATCGAGTGTGATTCATTTTTACATGACCAAATGAAAAGTAACATCAAGTTATTCAGCTAAGTGCGTATATACGCGAAATGTTTTGAGTAGTAAAGCTTTAAGTCTTCGGCGTTAGACGATCGGCTGTATAATACACGGATTACAGTGTCCAATCGATGCCTAAAATGCTAGTCTATCATGATTGCTTGAACTTCAAGTCTATATTCGTCCTATTGGGCATTAGTTTTCGAATAACAGTAGAGTTCAAACTTGAAATAAAGGATTGCATTAAAGAAAACCTGGTTGGCCGATTGTTGACCCTACGTTATCGTATAGTTATCATTTCATAATTTGTATAAACCTTATCGATCGATTCAATCGATTATTTGACTGCGGAATTTTAATTTGAAAATGGAAGAAATTTTTTCGCGAAAACTATAGTATTCTTCAGCGTAAGATTTGTTGGTACTTTTGTTTGTAACAAAAGATAAAGGTAAGGCTTAGTTAATCAAAAAATTTTCGTGAAGAAATCACTAAAGCTTTACGTTGAAATTCAAACGAATATTTTTTTGTAGTTAAATATCACTGACTTTTTAAGTGTTAGATTATGTATTGAAATATTTTGAATATTTTTTTTTCTGAAGAATTTTATAAATCTGTAGTACCAAATGTAAGTACACGTTAACGATAATAGTAACAGCGTTCACTTCGCAGGGTTGGCCTTCAATGCCAACAAGACGCTATACTTAGAATTTAATGCTATTTATAAGGCAAGGCATTCAAAATTAAATTTAAACTATTTTTGGAGCATTATCCAAATAAGTAACATATTTTATCAGCCTTCAGTGTTTTTTTTTTTATTTATAACCTATGTTTATTTTTTTTTTAACTACGAAGTGACGAAATAACGAAAAGTCATTTAAACAAACTTTAAACCAACAAACCAATTGACGTATTGTTTTTGTTAAGAATTTAAAATCTGTATCCCGCTCAATTAGAGATATCGAGGCGACGCAACTGTGTGATTCTATCGCGCCGATTGCAAGGCGTAAGAATACCTAATAATCGAATAACTGATCAGATTTAATTTTTTAAAAATCAATCAAGACATTTAAAACGTCACAGTAAAAAATGAAAATAAAAATTAACCGTCTGTCAGACGAGCAATCATTTTTAATATTTCATATGCTCGGCTTGTACTCGTATGAAAACAAGATTTTTGTCAATATGCTATTCTGATTGAAGAAATAACAAATTAAATATATTGAAGTGTCACACATCAAGGTTATTTTATAAATATATATCAACGCAGAACATTAAAAGGAGAGTCAATAATTGAGTGCGTCTCGATTTTTTTTAGATCACTTTAAGGTCGCGAAATGTTAAAGTCTGTATAAAATTTCTTGCATTCAAAATATGCGTCAAAATTCGTTTACTTAACGTTTATTTTAATTTGTAATAAATATTTTAATTACTAATTTCGATTGTTTGTACTCAATGTAATAACGCAAATTCTTTTGAAAGAATAAAGTGTTCTAAAAGTTTGTGTTAAAGTTGTTTTTTGGTGTGTCCTAATTTGGAATGTCAAGAGCGTCGGTGGCTCATGGGTTGACTTATAACCTGCAGGTCCGGGGTTCGAATCCCGTCATGTACCAATGTGATTTTCCATTTACATATATACATTTTTGTGACGTTCTTACGGCGAAGGAAAAAATCGTGATACAACCTGCACATATCTGGGAAGAATTTATAAGATATTTTTGAAGTAAACCAACTCACACTGGGCTATTGAGATTGACTACGGCCTAGTAACACTCCTAACATGGGTAGGCTCTCAGTTGGGACGTATAGTGAGCAGATGATGATATGGATCAAGCAAAATATTGATCATTTACTGAGCCCTTTTAAATGTAGTAACAGGCAATTTCTCTGATATTAATGCTGTTCCGTGGTGACCAAATGGCTTTACTTATTATATTTTAAAGAACGCATTATCTAGTCGTGTTGATTCGTATTCTTCTCCGGGTTATCAGAAGGTTAAGATCATTTGGGTTAATTGTTTCTATTAAAATAATCTAGTTATATTTCAGCAATTCGTTTTGCGTTCATTACACTATATAATATTGTGTTATCTATGTCAGGGGTGGCCAACTTTATGAAACCAGAGATCAATTGTTTAGTGATGAAACCCTGTGCGATCAACCAATTACAAACATTTTAAAATCTTAAATGTAACAGCACAGTTCAGTACTAAATTATTATATTTTATTAAAAGGGTAATCATGGCTTACATCCTTAGTTAAATTTATATTAAATTGAGCAGTGCGTCTACTCATCTACCGCTATGTTATGTTTACGTATTTATTTTTAGTGCCTTCATATTATTCAGAGTACTGAAAGTCGCGATCTACTAGTTAGCCACCCCTGATTTAAGCTGTTTTTAATGACAATATGCATCAGTTTCAATGTATCTCATACGTCCAAAGCGGATACTAATCTTAGTTCCTAGTTCTCTATAAGTGTTTTTGCAATTTATCAAGATAAGCTATCATATCTATTAATATATACATTAATTGAGCGATAATTTATATATTTTAAACAACTTTTGGGTATATTTATAATTAAGATAAGAACACAAATTTTTTGGTTGTTATTTTTCTCAATGCTGCATCGCTGCACGTATTTTTCCTAATATCAAAGCGCGTTAATATTGTAATTTCGTCTTATCTTTTATCCCGTTTGAAATATAATTATGTTTAATATAGTCTTTGCTATTATGTTGTTTATTATAATTACAATTCATTAACATCTAAGCTACATATTGGCTTATGTACAAAAATAAACTTTATAACATTCTATATGAATATTTGATTTCATATTTTACATAAAGGGTATCTATACTTTTTTTTGGTATATCTACGTAGAAATATACTCTGGGTAACTGTATCACAATATACTTTTTTTAATATTAGCAGATTTTTGTGTGTAGTAGTAGTAGTAGTGTGAATTGACTAAGACTTCTTGTACCATTCTAACTAAGCTCTATGCTTGTGCTAGGACATGGTTTACGACAACAGTCGAATGGTGGGATTCGAATCCCAGACCACATGATCGGAAATCCGTATCTTAACCATTATATTATTGAAGCTTGTCTTTAAATTATTAAAGAATTTGATGATATTTATATTTAGTTAAATACTTCGTTTTGATAAATTTTCTGTATACTTAATATGTTTATTAGCATTGTTGTATGTTCCGTTCATCTGATCGAGACGACGTAAACACATTGTAACGCATTGACTTGTTATTTAAATTATTGAGCTTTATTATATTATCTGTTCTACGTAAGCAGCCAATGCGCACGATCTGAAATAACGTAAAAGAATCGAATATCGCAGTTTTATTTGTTTGCATTCTACATTGTCGTGATAATCTGTGATGCAATGTAACTAACTACTGTCTTCGTCTTCGTCCAAGCTGCTGACAATATATGACTGATCTCTTTTCTTTAAGTAATATTCTAGTTGAATTCCTGTTTATTAAGTAGTTAAAAACTTTGTAAACACGCCGCGAAGGGCCCGCGAGTTGATTTTTTGGTGACACTTATTTTTTTCTAAAAAAATTTAAACTATTTGTCAGATTATTTCTCCTGCTAATATATCCGTTTATTTGGATAAGATATTTTTATTTTCTTTAGCAACAAGTGGATATTATAAGAAAATCATCAAAAATAGACGACATCGATGACTGGTTTGTAGTACTTTTTAAAATCTAAAATTCTCTGGTACATAATTTTTATACATATGTGTAACTCTAATTGTTTAGCCTAATTAAGTAAATAAAGAGGAATTAAGGGATTTCAGAAATACACTGTTTATTCATGTTTTCTAAGCCTAAGTTACTCAGTGATAGGTTTTTAATGTAGAAAAAAAATTAAATCGGTTTAGTAGTTTATTCGATGCTTACAAAAATACAACAAAACATGAATACAAAAATACAAATGTTCACAATATTTCTTTATAATATTAGTAATGATAAAATGTAGCGCTCACGTAGGACATTGTCTTGAACGAGTACATTAAAAAGTAAAAAAATGAAAGTGAATGCTCGGAAACTTATTTATAGATTTTTAAAAATATATTCGAAATGTATAATATCCAGAAGTTTAACGTTTATTACCATAGGTTTTCAAGGTTACACTTATACAAAATCATACTGTTATCTCTTTCATTATGTTTGTAAAAATTGAGATGCCAATATTATGCAATACATAGCTTAGTAACAGTTGGTTTCTGAGACCAAAATCTATGTTTAAACCCTA